CTAGAAACAAGGTAATTGATTATCAGTAGAAAAGGATCACTGTCATGTATTTATGTAATAGAACATAGTGGTGAAGAGGAATAGATCAGAGCTGCATGTACTGAAATATGTGAACTTCAGAAATGTAATATTCTGTGGGGGAAAAAAAATTTTGTCACTGGAAAATACAAGTAATATATAGATGTGTGTGTATGCATAATGCAATGAAGAAAATATTTCAAGAATGCATACATAAGTGGTAGAGTTGTAAAATGGAAGTCATGTAAATTTATTTGATGGTAATATTTACCCTTCTGGAGCTCTCCCTAACGATAAGGGACATGTGATTCAGAAAAACTAAACAGCAAGGATTTCACTTATGTTGGTAATAGTAGCTGTTTCTTTGGTTGGATTTTGGATAAAATTCCTTAAACAATTTTTATATGTATATGTTTTTAATATTTTTTGAAAAAACAAGAATAAGTGATAGGAATTATGGGTAAGGGAAGGATAAATGAGGCAAAAACATATACAGGATGAAGAGTAGTGGAATTCATCTCTTTTAATGTGGAGTTACTGGGTACAAGATGCTGGACTAGGTCCTGGGGTTGGCAGAGAGCCACAGGTCTGCAGATACAGGGATGAATGTAACATTTCCAGAACTTTAGATTTTATATAGCTACTTTATTTAATGGAGGAAGAATGGCTACTCCTCCAATTACAAATAGGGTACAGGTCCTAGGGCGCTAGTGGGGAGACTTACTTCTGGAAGGATCCTATGAGAACTGGAAATGCCAGAGTCTCCACAGGCCTTGCTTCAAGAAAAGCCTCCCAGCCTGGCTTGGTCCTTTCCCTCTGCTTCTGCTTCTGTTCCTCCTCTCCTCCAGGACACTCACAGGATACTTTCCACAGTAAGTTATTAATGACCAGAATAAGGTAAAATAAAAGAAGTCACAATGTGTATTAGTCCTTTTTCCCACTGCTAATAAAGACATACCTGAGACTGCATAATTTGTAAAGAAAAAGTAGTTTAATGGACTTACAGTTCCACTTGTCTGGGGAGGCCTCACAATCATGGCATAAGGCAAGGAGGAGCGAGTCATATCTTACATGGCAGCAGAGAAAAGAGAGCTTGTTCATGGAAAGTTCCCCTTATGAAACTATCAGATCTCGTGAGAATTCTTCACTATCATGAGAACAGCACAGGAAAGACCTGCCCCTGTGATCTAATTACCTCCCACTAGGTCCACCCCCCATGACATGTGGGAATTGTGGGAGTTACAATTCAATATGAGGTTTAGGTGGGGACACAGCCAAACCATATCACAGTGTATATTTATATTTCATGAAAGCAACTTGTTTTGTTTTATTTTAAACTTGGTTTTTTGTTGGTTGATTGGTTGGGCCCATGGCAATTCTAAATCAGGAATTTCTGAATATAGAGTTTAGTTGACAATTTTGAAGTTTTTGTTTTCCTTGTGGAAATTTTGAATCTTTTAGTAATACTATTCTTCAAGGCCTTGAAAATATTGAAAGACATCCAAGATTAGAGTTATATAGAAAGAAAGAATGATCGTGTCACATTTGAGGAAGACACACTAGAGGGAAGCAGCTGTATGCATTTTTATCTTTGTTTGGTTTTCTTTGAATTACTGCTAAATAGTACCAACAGAAATCTTTAAAATATATTTTTGAGCCTCTTTGAAGATTTTTATGTAATAGAATAAAATTTTTCAGTTCATGTATTTGACCAATGTAATGTAGAAAATACAAAGACCAGTAGTTAAATTACTGAGTTTTCTCTCATTGTCAGCCAAAGATGACTTTGGCTATT